TGTCTCTCCAAATAAGGGGCAGTAAGTTGTGGGGGACCATATGAAAGGCCTTTCAGCAGCTCAGACAGATGACAGCTCTTCCCTTGTCCACTGATGCAGTCACTCCAGTGTTCAAGACCACCATCTTAGTCAGGCTTGATTAGCCCTTGGTAAAGCCGTGTTTATCACCCCCCTGTCATCTGTGTCTTGACATGTCTTCCAGGAGGATCTGCTCCATGATCTTACTGGTTGTGGAGGTGGGGGCTGACTGGCCAGTAGTGCCCAGCTTGTGGCTGGAACAGCATTTCCAGCTAACCTCCTCCATCTTTTTTTTTTTAAAACAAGTTTCATTTTTATTACTATAAGGCCACGAAACACTATAGAAAATGTTTCCACGAACTCCATAGATCCCTAGGAGGGATTTATTATGGCTTGCTCGCAGAGACCAGATGCAGCATGAGGCTGCCAGGTCTGTGCTTCCTCTTGGCATTTGCCTTTAAAAAATACCCTACATTTTGTAAATGTAAGTGCCAAAATAAACAGGCACATGGGTAATCTGTGGTAATCTCACAGGTAATCTGTGAGAGACAGAAGAAAAGTTTTAAGGCAAGAAAGGTTTATTATTTCAATTTTCCTTGGAGGAGTTGTGGTCAGGATCTTCTTTAATTTTTTTAGTGAAAGAGGTAACTCTGCCAAAAAGATCCTTCTTCCCAGCTCTATCAGGTAACTCAGTTATGACTTAGTTTGAAATTGTACTCCTCTTGATTACGTTGTTTGGTTGTTGTCAGTAAAGAATTGCAGGGCACAAAGAGGTGAAGGCTTATTAATCCAAATAATGAGTGAGAGAGCTTTGACAGCTGAGAATCGACCCGTCTGTGCAGTCAGCGTCCCAGTGATGCTGGTTGTGCTGTGGCAGGCGCGTGTCAGACACCTGCAGTTACCTGTGAAGGGTGGGGGTCTGGTGCCTGCTGCTGCTGCCACCCTCCTGCTCACCCTGGGCCTTCTGGAGGCTTTTTCCCTCCTTTCCTGGTACTGGGGAACAGGAATGCTGAGCGTTGGGCTGCCGGTGAGTCCCCCCAGCCCTGAGGAGCACCCCACGTGGCAGCTCTGGGTGCCGGTTCCTCGTGTGGGTCCCCTTCCCTGTTGCGTGGGGGATGCTTTTGGGATCTTGGAGAGCTGTGGGGAAGGGCAGCACAGGGGAGTTGTTTTTTCCTCTTTCCCAAGCAGCTGAGGCTGTGCTGGAGCTGAGTGGTATTACCAGCCTGGGCTGGGCATTGGCCCTCTGTGGGGCAAGTGCCCCATTTGCTGTTGGCAGAGGGAGCTCCTGCTGCTGCTTGCACCTCTGCCTGCACCCCTGCCTGCATCCCTACCTGCATCCCTGCCTCCCCAGTGCTGCCTGGGGCCCCCTCCAGGGGCAGGTACCAGCAGGCTCTGGAGCTCAGGGGCACAAGGCTCAACCTCAAGTCAAAGCCTCCTCTCCCCTCCCAGTGGGGACTGGGGACAGAGCCCCACGGTGCTGGTGGCTGTGGGGACATCCCTGCTCCCCTGCTGCCCTTGGGGCCAGCTGCGGGATGAGGGGAGCCTGGCCTGGCCTCTCAAACACCGTGCCTTGCCCTCAGCACTGCTCTGCTCGCCGGGGTGACGCTGGCCATAGCAGCAGCGGTGTTGTGGTACTTCAGCTTCCTGTTGCTGAATGTTACTCACCATGAACAGATAAATAGATTTGAGTGAGTCACTTAAATAGACACCATGGATGTGAAAATAATTGTCTGGGAAGCCTGTGCCTGCCAGGTCGCCAAGTAATCCTCACACGTCCTGTGACTCAAAGTCAGCCAGAAGGAGTGTTTTCTCCCTGCTGCTCAGTTGGAAATACTTGAAGGGAAGGCAGCCCGGCTGCCTGTGTGCCATGCCCCTCCATCCATCCATGTAGTCCTGTCCCTTCCTGAGCAGTCAGCTCGGGGGGATGCTCACCCGTGCTCACCACTTGCCTTGTGTGCCTCAGCGATAGCATCACTGCAGCATATCCCTCAGCCCAGATTTGCAGGGAGAAGGAGAAGTATGTAGCAGCAAGTTACGTGAAATTGTTTTGTCAAATTGAAGGTGGTGATGAGTGGGAAGGGGCCTTCGAGGTCCAGCATTAGCTCAGGTTGCTCAAGTGTACACCCAGCCACATGCTGAATATCCTTAAGGATGGACGTCTCACAGCGTTCCCAAGTCCAGTGTCTGACTGCCTTCATGATGACATTTTGTTTTCTAGTTTGAATTTTGCTTGTCCCAGCTTGATCCATCACTGCTTGTCCTGTCCTTGTGCACTCCAAGCTTCAACAGGAAGCTGAAGGTCCCCTCCAAGGACCAGCAGGTCTGGCTCCAGCTCCTCTTCACCCTCCTGCTAGGTAGCCGTAGGCAGCAGTAGGAACCTCCTTTGCTTTCCACATCCCAGTCAAAGAAGCCCAGCTCCCAGCCTGTCCCTGTGCTTGTGGCAGCCTGCTGTCCACTGGCACTCCTACTTCTTTGGTTCTCCATCCGCTGGCCACAGCCCACCTGGGTGCAGGGAGTTACTCGCCCAGACTGGTTTGTTTCTTCATTAAATACAAGTTCTTTCAAGAATGGGGAAAAAATAAATAATTAGTCACTTGAATGAGAACTCTGTCTTAAAATGTCCTCTTCCTTTTCCAGCATTTGTGCTTGTTCTCTAGCAAAAATCTAACTGTACCCCTTCTCCTGGTGAGGCTGCCGTGTTGGCTTGCTCAGAACTACCTGGAGCCTGGGGTGAAGGTATTCTCAGATGTGTTCATTTTCCCTTTTTCCCAATAGTGCTGAAGTTCTTAGCTCTGAGTCAAACGTGTACAACTGTCGATAGGATGTGACCTTCCCCCAGCACATTCCCATCATCATGATTTCCTAATTATGCCTGTGACTGGCAGCTGGGAGCATACAGCATCACAGCTACTGCAGCCATTGAAATGACTCAGTTAATGTGCCTAGAGTCTATTAAATTTTTATTTAATTAAGTAAGTCTTGATCTCATCAAAATCAAGAGGGATCATTAGGGTGGCAACATTTCCAAGAAATCATATTTGAATGGCAGGTGGTTCGTACTGTCTTTAGTATATGGATCTTGAGATATTGCAGTGTGCTGGTCTCACTGCTGAGTTTTGGTGTTGGCTGATCCCACAGTCAGGGCACGGTTAAGTCCGTGACCAGCCAGCTGGGCTGCCACAAGCCCACGGGTGAGCGCAAGGCGTTTTGTACCACCCAGCCTTTTTGCAGGTATGCAGCATGAAGGGCTGTGCAGGCAGAGCACAGCTGGGTACCTCTGTGCTGGGCACAGGTGCTCTGCCCCCTACTCTACCCCTCCTGCTGGGCTCCGTGGGGTTCAGCAGTTTCTGAAGCTCAGGGTGGCAAGGGGCATAACTGCAGTGTCAGCTCCTTCAAGGACACTGGTTTCTGGGAGAGGAACCTGGTTATGATCACAGACTGACAGAATAGTTTGGGTTGGAAGGGACTTTAAAGATGATCCAGTCCTACCCCCCTGCCAAGGTTGCCCAAAGCCCCGTCCAACCTGGCCTTGAACCCTTCCAGGGAGGGGGCAGCCACAGCTTCTCTGGGCAACCTGTGCCAGGGCCTCCCCACCCTCACAGGGAAGAAATTCTTCCTTAGATCTCATCTAAATCTGCCCTTGTTCAGTTTAGAACTGTGCTGGGGACCCCGAGCTGGCCGCAGTGCTCCAGGGGTCTGAGGAGAGCAGGGCAGAGGGGGAGCATCCCCTCCCTCGGCCTGCTGGCCACGCTGCTGGGGACGCAGCCCAGGTAACACTTGGCTTTCTGGGCTGTGAGCGCACGTTGCCGGCTCATGTCCCATTTGTCACCCACCAGCATCCCCCAGTCCTTCTCCGCAGGGCTGCTCTCCATCCATCCACCCCTCCCTCCATCAAGGAGCTCTGCTCCAATACAGGTTTGCCTAGCACGGCTTGTGGCTTGGAGATGCTGGTGCAGTGCAGAGATGAGTCCTACAAGACCCGAGTGCCTGGCGATGGTGCAGTGGTTGTGCTGTCAGTGGTGGTGAACTCAGAGCCAGGTCCTGGTGCTTGCCGCTGGGATCAAGGGCAGATTGCCCTGAGCCAGAGCCCATTGGTCAGGCAGGGCCTGGACTTTCCCGAGCTGATTCAGTTCTCTCGAGTGTGGAATGTGCTGTAGTCTCCTCCTCTCTCGAGTCAAGTCAATAGTCTTGGCCAAGAGGCTCCTGTGAAAGCCCTCGCAGTCTTGGAGAGGCGGCCCTGGGGAGATGCTGAGCTTCACCGACGGGAGCTGCGTGTCAGCCAGGCTCTTCTCCCAGTGGGAGCCATGCGCAGGTCACACAGGCACACGGGGGGTGCCTGTGGGGACAGGGAGGAAGGGACTTGCTTGTACTTGCTTTTATTTGGAATTCCCGTGCCCCTGCCTGTTGGAACACGAGGGCTGCTCTACACCCTCCCACCACTGCTGGGCTGCGCAGTCACTCCTGAGCTGTGGGCTGTGGGACTGGGGGGGGCGTTCTGACCACTTCAGCCCCTACTTTTCTACCAAAAGCAATAAATTCAGGCTGGGGAGTGAACACACACACTGGCTGTTAGTGAGGGGTTGCCAGTGAAAGAAATGACCTTTTGTAATGCCTTGGGGAGGGCTGGCCAGCGTGGCAGGGGCTTGGGGAGATCAGCCCTTAGAGACCAGGAGGGCTTTGGTGTCCAGCAGTGGTTCTCTCTTAGCCACAAGATCCAGTACTGTGGACTGTGTGTCCCTTCCCTCCTGCTTTCTGCAGAGTGCTGGGTACGGGCAGGTTCGGGCTGTGCAGGCAGGGGGTCCCTCAGAAAAGCTCCCCAGCTCCCTGCTTGCCCGACCAGCAGCAGGTCTACTTGCAGGGTCAGGACTCTGAGGAGTCCAGCGGGGTGCGGGGGGTGCTCTCCACATGCTGTGGGTCTGGGCAGCAGACATTAGCAGTGTCTCCAATGCATCCATGTTTGCTCTTTTTTTTTTTCTACCCAGAAACGAAGGAGGAGCTGGAAGAGCTGATGGCTGACATAAAGAAGACGGCGAACAAAGTGCGCTCCAAGCTAAAGAGTGAGTATTTGCCTGTGAGGCTGCTATGGAGCTCTGCCCGCTGTGCTTCTGCCCTGAATCCCCTGACAGTGGGTACTGTGGCTCCCATCCTGGGCTGGGGGTGCAGCCGGGCCCTGCCCCATGCCCCCACACTCAGCACTTCCCGCTTTTTCCCCAGTGACCAGAAATGCTGTGCTGGCAGCAGCTGGTGTTTGACTCAGGTCCGGACAGTTCTGGGGTGGTTTGCTGTGGGTGGGAAAGGGCAGGTCACAGGTACCTGGCCTGGCCCCATCTGTGTCCTCTGGCAACCTGAGGTGGCATGGGGAGGGGAGCGGAGCTGAGGGAGGGGACAGCCACAAGTGGCATCTGCTGTTGCTTTGCAGGGATCACCTGAGAATGGGCATCATCGTCCCTTCCCCGAGCACCCTCTAGCTGCTTTTATTTGCCTTTTGTGAATTTGCCCCCTTGTGCCCCCTTGTTCCCAGGACGGAGGTGAGGGAGCGGGGCCGTGGGCACAGTGTGGGCCGTGAGCAAGTCCTGTGCCACCAGCCCTCACAGACTTTGGGCTCTCCCGGTGAGCGCTGGCTCTGAGCAAACCCGTGACATGGCCAAAGGTTGGTGTGCCAGGGCTGAGTAGTAGAGATGCTGCAGTGGGACTTGCGAGCCTTTTCTTGAGCAAGCCCGAGCACAGGGAGCCTAGGCAGGTGCAGCACCAAGGGGTCCCCCCTGGAGAGCCCCGGTCTCTCTTGCCCGTGTGGCTCCGGCCAGGCTGGGTGGTGCTGCCTGCTCTTGGAGGTGTCCTGGCACCGGGCTGCTGCCCTGGAGCTTGTGCTGCCCACTGCCCCCACCCTGCGGGTGGGGGGGAAGAAAGGGGCCATTGGGGAAGGTCATTCTGTCTCGTAGCATGGCCCATTGTTGTAGCATGCCTCTGCCTTGGGCAGCGCAGGGACAGCATGGCCAGCGCGACCACCAAGTCCACCACTGGAAGAGTCAATTCCACCACTGGAGAGTGAGAACAGACTGTCAGTCTGCTGGTGGCTGGGGTTGTGCTGGAGTGCTTGGATAAGCCCAAAAGCCCAAGATGGGACCCCAGGTGATTCAGGGGGTCAGTGAGGACAGCAGCATTTTGAGGCAGGAGGCAGGTCACCTCAGAGTTGCCTGCTGTGGTCTTGGACATCAGCCTGGGATTTGGTTGAGGTTGTTGCAGGAGGCCTGGCTGTGCCTGAAAGGGTGGGAGAGGAGCTGGTGTTTCCCCCATGACAGCAGTGTTCTCCCTAATCCCAGGGTTTTGTGGGAGCCCAGCAATCCTGGGGTACTTGGGTATGGCTGGAGCTGTTTGTCACCACTGGCATGGCCATGTCCCATTTGTATGCCAGAAGGGGACATGTGCCCCCCCATCCCCTTGCTGCCCTCTTTCCCCTGGCACATGATCTCAGCTGGATGTAGGGATGAGATCTGGGGCCAACCTACCTGTTCCGCAGACCAGGGGATCCCTCCCCACGGGCCAGAGCCCCCCCAGCCATAATGGGATCCCTGGTGTCCAGGTGGGTTTAGCCTGTGCAAAACAAAAATCCTCTTCCATAGGTGTTTTGTTCTGTGTTTTTTAAGGGGCTTTGAGACCCCGAAGGCTTGCAGAACATGTTCCAATTGCTGTTTCCTTCTTCCAGAAAAGACTCACTGATACTGCATTTACCTGGAGCAACAGATGATTAGTCCTTGTGCTTAGTCCCAGATCGCCTCATGGCCAGCATGATCCATGAAAGAAAACAGTTAGCACTGATCAAAAACACCATCTGCTGACAACGAATTGACTTCTTTAGGACAGACATTGCTCATGCAGTGGCTAATTCTAATTGCCAGCTTCTTGGGAAAATGTGATTTTATTAATTATGGTAAATGCACAATGTTTGCCAATACTGTTCCTTGGGAACAGTTTATGACAAGTGTGCAGGACGACCAATGGCTGATGAAACGTGTCGGGCAGGCAGCAGGCAGAGCGTTGGCAGGCAGGGCGGTGCACAGAAGCGGTGCTGTGGCCATCTGACTGAGTGGGACGGGACCTGTCAGATCGGCTCTAGATAGCAGGGGGGAATAGGCAGGGGTGCAGAACTTGTGCTGGTGCCCCCCAGCACTCCCTTGGAGCACGCTGTGCTGTGGGACCCCCTGTGAGCACTGCACAGGGCTCCCAGCCCTGCAGCCCCCCTTGCAGCACTGCTGTTCTCTGCAGGCTGGGATGGGGGGGCCGCGCGGGCTGAACAGCGTGCAGCAGAAGCGGGGCTGCCTGCCACAGTGGTGCTGGGGCCTGTGCTCTGCCCTGCCACGCTGGGGTGATGGGGAGCCACTGGGCAGCTCCAGGGATGGGGAGCCCCTGCTGCAGAAGGAGTCTGCCCGTGCTGGGCTCGTGGGCCTGCTCCAGCACGGAGGGTGTGGGATGGGGTCCTCAGCCAAACTGGAGGCGTGCCACTGGCTCACACCTGGTCCATGTGGGGATGGGTGTCTCTGCACACCGAGCCAGCCTGCTGGCTGATGGGAGCTTTCTTCCAGGCTTTGTAAGTCCCTGAATTTAAGTTTTTTAACTAGCATGTCCTGAGCTGGCTTTGAGGAGCAGATTTGCACTGCCATGCTCTGTGCCAGACCTGCCCTGTCAACCCCATGCCCTCTCCCTGCCCACACCACAGTGGGATGCTGAGCAGGGCAGCCCTCCCCCCTACTGTGGTTTATGGTCTCTGGTCAAGTGAGGAGTTTATCTCACTTAGTCACACTACTGGGCATAATTAAAAGAGCAAATCTCTGCTTCGCTGTGGTTCAGCAAGATGAAGCGCACTCTCACCAGCCTGGTGGGTCCTCCCTGTGCAAGGCCAGACAGCTGGCAGACCTACTATTTTTAGGGTCCCCGGAGGAGTCTTGAGCTTTGGTATTTTGTAGAGACATTTTAACTCTGGGTTTCCTCCTCCTGCCAAGCAGGGGGAGAACAGCACTCCATTTTGTTTGAATACCAGAAAGCGCAGAGATCAGACCTGAACATCACATCAATTTTGTATTGAAATCCTCGCTTACCAGCTTGGGGGTGACGGGTGCTGCCCTCGACAGCATCAAGTCTTGGCCGGTGGCCAGGCACTGAGTGCTCTGCAGTAATAAAACAGGGCTTTGCTGCCAGCCCAGGCTAAATTGCTGGCTAGTCAGGAGCTGGGGATTGTTCAGTGCCAGATGCTCTTCGATTCACAGGCTTCAGTCTTTTCCCATCTCTTTGCCAAACAATCCTTTTTTCTTCTCTAAACAGCGCGAAATAATCTGTGTCCTTCTACCCCAACCAGGTATTGAACAGAGTATTGAACAAGAGGAAGGACTGAACAGGTCATCTGCTGACCTGCGGATAAGGAAAACTCAGGTGAGTCTCTGCCTGTGGCACTGGGGAGGGGAGGACTGGAGGCAGCTGGAGGGGTCTCAGGGGGGATGGGAGGAGAGGGCTGTGCTTGGCTTAGAGCAGTCAGGTTCTGGTGTGCAAATACCGGGCAGAGGAATGCACCACATTTCTGAAGAGATCAGCAAAAGGGCCAGTGTGAAGGACCCGTGACCTCAGTAGAAGCTGAAGGAGCTGCGGAGCGGAGGGCAGTGCGCGTCAGCCTCATCCTCGTGGGCCAGTCTGGGTGTCTGTGTGGACGAACAGGAAGGTGGGTTTCTGTACATCAATGTTAAGCATCACTAAAGGTGATCCTGACTGGAGCAAAAATACTCTCTGAAGCGCCAGCTCTGGGTGGAGAATGTTTGCCTGCTGCGTCTTCAGAAACCTGAAGTCTCTGTGTGTTTCTGCGGTGCCTGGAAGGATGCTTTAACAGCTCATAAATGAGAACAAGGCTTAACTGATGCAGCTGCTTAACTCACCTCACATTTCACTTAATCGAAGAAGACAGGTGTTTTTTCAGAGAGCACTGTGCAGACCTGCAGCCTTCTGGAAATGTTTCTCCCTGTTGGGGCTGTGGTTGCCCCTCCACCAGACATTGATACGGCATCCAGGAAACGTTAAACTTGTGAAGGGCTGACACAACTCTTCCTCTTGTTCCCATGAAACCATCAATAACTAGCACCTTCTTTTGATGGGCTTCATAGCAGGGTTATCCAGGAGTAGAGGCAGAGATCGGGTGTGTCTCCCTCTCCTCCACCTGGGTGGTCCCAAGGCTGTGTTGTGCTCAGCTGTGATAAGGGTCGTGCTGCTCCTGCTTCTGTCTGCAGCTGAGATGGGGTGTTGGCTCTACAAGAGGTGGAGGTTGGGGGACATGGGGCTTGTCCATGGATCCAACAGCACGTGCTATAAACTGGAGGTCACCGACCCTGCCTTGAGCCAGAAGTTGGGCTGCATGACCTTCTGGAGTCCTTTCCATCCTGATTTACCCTACAGTTCTGAGTAACTCCCCTCCCATCCCCCTGAAGTCAAGAAGTAGCTTAGAAATATTTTATGAGAAAAGTGTTAGGAGTGTCTTGTAGACAGGCTTTTCTCTCTGAGGGACAGCTGATTGCAGCAGGAAGGTCTGATTGCTGCAGACATCCCTGCTGGGCACTCCTCAGGTCCTGGCCTGAGGCAGCTGGAAGACGAGGACAGGTCACAGACATCTCTCTGACATCCGTGGTGGGTGCTAGTGGGAAGACTTTGAGAACACCAACAGAGAGAACACAGTCAATGAGGTTGTGAAAAGGCCAACAACTTGGCAGAAAGTGCTAAAAGAAAATTTCCTTGGGGAAGCAGGCAGGCACGACCCAGGAAGGCAGCACAGAGCGTCAGGAGAAAGGATGTGGAGGGGAGCTGAGGGCAGGGGAGACGACTGAGCCTCGTACACCCTTCATTCAGCCTGGGAATCTTCACAGGTTTTATGTTAACCCAGAAGCATTTGACTGCTGATGATCTGAGGACTTGTGGGACAAGGTTATCCATGGTTTCCAGCTGCTTTTGAGACCAGGGCTTGAATTCCTAAGTAAGAGGCACTTTGTGAAAACAGGACATGCTTTTACTGATCTTCCAAAGTCAGAGCTATGCAGTTGTCTTGGACATGTGCAAGACTTGATGCTGGCTGGAGCTGCCATACTCTTCTCACACCATGCACGGAGGGTGGGCGACACCTGATACTGCACCCACAAACGTGTCCTTAACTCCAAGTTTTAGAGGAAAGTGGATCCAAAAAGGTCAGTTTGTGCTGGGTTGGTATCTTGTGTTGTGTGACTGTGGCCTTTTTTTACTTAGTCTGTCCATTGTCAGCTATGGCCTGAGCTCCCAAAACTGAACTAGTTTAGCTTGATGAAATGGCTCTAGACAGGGATCACTCATCCCCAGATAAAGTGTTACACAGCAAACAAGTATTTCATTTAGAGGGGGTAAATTTGGCCATAGTACTCAGTGAGGGGCTGAAAATGTGGGTTAATTCTCATGGGGAAGTGATGGAGAAAGAACATGTTTTATGGCTTCAGATCCTCCACTTGCCAGAAGGAGAGTCCAGAGGCTTGATTGCGTGAACTGTTTGATGAGAGCTTTCCCGTCATTTATGTGTCACCCTCGATGGAGCAGCTCCCTCCAAGGCCTTTCTAAAGAGGCGTTGTGTCTGCTGTGCGCTGGCTTTGTGGTGTGGCCCCGGGCCGTAGCGGTGGTGGGGAGTGGCCCATGGTGGTGGGGGGGTTGCTGCTGCATTGGGGGCACCAGGTGATCCTCCAGCAGACCCACCCAGGCTGAGGGTGCGTGAGCCTGTCCCTGGTGGACAAGGGCCCACAGACAGTTGTGTGCCCAAGCCGTGGTCGACTCGTGGGTGCTGCTGCACCCTGCCCCAGGATCTGGCTTTAGCCCCCTCCACAACTACCTGGACTCTAAAGCTCATGTACTGGCTGAAAGAGTCACTTCTCTCCTGCAAACCACCATGTGTCAGGCTGTGGTGGGGGTCTTGCTGGGAGGGAGGATCACTCCCGGGTGACCCCAGGTGCCTGCTCAGCTCGCAGGTCCCCTTGTCTCCAAATTCCCACACATGGTTTGTGGTTTTCTGGACTCTGTACTCTGCAGTGTTCATTTGCTTGGTCCTTGCTGCAGAGGTCTTGTTGAAATGTGTATGCCTTGGGAAATGGCACAAGCATTTCTTTGTCCTCTCACTTGGTCCTGCAGAAGCAGTGAGTGTGGGGAGCACTGCTCATGAGCAGGCAGCGTCCCGTCCCATTTGTCTCCTGTAGGGAGAGATAAGAAAGAGTTAGATAAATCTAAGGGAAGTGTATGCATGGAAGCAGCAGAGGGAATGGCAGAAGAAGGGATACAAGACTGATGTGGGTTGATGGCATCAAGATGCCAGCATGAATAAATGCAACTTCTGAGGGGCTTAGGGTGGAAAAGCACTGGGCAGCTTACTCCAGGGCAGGAGGCAAGAGGACCTCTGAACGTCCCATGCAATTTAAATCATTCCATAGTTGTAAGTCAGCTGTGCTGCCTAATGACGCTGTGGCAGGACAGGTCAGTGGGCTAGGGTGAGTGTTGCTGGCAGCTCCTGGTGAGCATAGAAGGAGCATCCCAAACCACTCTGTGGCCACCAGTTACAAAGGGCCCAGGAGATGAGGGGGACCTGTAGGATGCGTCACACACAAGCATTGCTGACACTACGTCTTGGGGCACATGTGAGTCTGGGGCACAAGAAAATGAATCCAGGAACTAGCTTTATTTAAAATTGATTTTTATTGAATAGATCACCTTCCTGTTCAGTGCAGCCTGGTGCTGAGCGTTGTCAGCTCAGGTGCAGCACTCTGGTGCTGAGCTTCTTTGGTTCATGTCTATTCTGTGAGTAGCATTGAGTGTCCCAGCTCGGCCGTGGCCTTGTGTGGTGAGAGCTCAGCTAGGCTGGAGACGCTCCCTGGTGGGGGTCACACTGTGGTGTGAGGGGCTGTGCCGAGGCCATGCCTGTTGGGTCCTGCGGGATGGCTGCATGGCTGGTGCAGGGTGTGAGCCTGTCACGGGTGTCTCATCATTGCAGCCTCTTAACATCAGCATTCTCTGGGCCGAAGCTTTGCCTTCTGCTCCACCATGCAGGGTTGCTGTGTAGTTTTAACTGTGGGTTGGCCAATCTTGTGGTGATCCTTTGATGAGAGAGCACCCAGCAAGATGTGGTCATTGCTCCAGCAGTGGGATCTCTTCTCTGCGCTGCCGCAGGGTGAGCTGCAGTGCCCTGTTCTTGCTGGTCACACTGGAGGGTGTGGATGAAATGAGGTGTCTCAGAGCAGAGAAGCAGTGAAGATTGTGTTTTAGCAAACCATTACACTGATAAAGGCAACGGGAGCTGCTCTCGCAGGGGGTTTATGCACAGATAGAGCTCAGTTGAAATCCTACTTTAAGTGCTCTGCAGTGAAGCCAGAGGAGTTCTGGCATTTATAGTTTATTTCATTTTCAGTCTGTGAAACCACTGGCATAGTCTGCTCTCCCGTGCTGCAGTCAGTACCAGATCGATACAGCGGTGACGTTAACTGATCACCTCCGCAGAGGCAGCTTCCAGCCTGGAGCCCAGCACCCTGCAGCCCTGCAGAGTGGCCGGGGGCTCCTGTGGCTGAGCCTGAGACAGCGGGAACAGTCCTCTGCAGAACTGGAGCAAGAGAAAGTCTTGTCTCTAGAGCAGGTGGGAAGGAGAGTTGCTGGGGCATAGTGAAGCCAAAGCAGAGGATGGTACAACAGCACACAGCTGGCTCTGCCATCCCTGCTGGAGGGACCCTGGCATGAGCACAGCTCTGCTCCAGCTGGGCAGTCTCGGGGAGTGAGCAGATCTCTTCCCAGAAAAAACCTTGTCCTTTGCCACTCCGGAAGCCATGCTGCATGCTGACAGCAGTGCTGTGGAACCCCAGCAGGCTCCCTGCTCTGCACTGCTCTGCACTGTGCCCTCAGGAGCCATCCGCCATCCCCAAGGCAGGTGCTGGGTGGCCATGGAAGGGAAGGGGAGAGCAGGGATCTGGCAGTCCAGGGAGGCTGTATCAGCTGTGCTGTGCTCGTGTTCCCCAGGCAAAGGCATAACTTCTGCAGTGTCCAGGGAAACTAGAGGTGGCCACAGATTGGTGTTGTGTAGCCCAGGGCTGTGAATTTGAGTGGGGTTTAGTTTTTCTCCATGTTGATGCGCTGGGGTTCAGACATCATCCTGGCACACAGGAGAGCAGGATTCAGGGCTCTGATCCACCACAGAGCAGTGGAATGGTTTGGGTTGGAAGGAACTTTAAAGATCATCTAGTTCCAATCCCCCTGTCCCAGGCAGGGACACCTTCCACTAGCCCAGGTTGCCCAAAGCCCCGTCCAACCTGGCCTTGAGCCCTTCCAGGGAGGGGGCAGCCACAGCTTCTCTGGGCAGCCTGTGCCACCCTCATCATAAAGTATTTCTTCCATGTGATGTTCAA